AGAGGAAGACCAAAAAAAACCTAGGGGTAGACGCTTAGGTAGACTACAGGACATGTCGGTAAAGGGTATTAATATTAATATGACCCGAGACAGACACTTATGGATCAATGTATTTAGGGAAGCTCACCCCGCATAGGGATAAAGTCAAAGAGAATGATGATGATAATAATAATGATAATGATGGTGATGATAGTGGTGATGATGTAATGACATTTTACTGTCTAAATAGCCGACAATTTATCGCACATCCTGCATGGAAAGCACTTCACATTCTTTAAAATGTAAATACAAATTATTAGATACATTACACCATGTTTTCATGGTGTACTTTCAACAAAATATTCATTAAGTCTATTAGCTATGTTTACATTGTTTGTTAATAGTTTTGGGCCTGTAGCAGTTTTAAAGATTTCAGAGTTTGGTAACTCTCGGCTGTTATTATTGATCCATTTTTAAAGTTTTCCACATTTGTTCTGGATTGTTTCTATTCCTATAAATTTTGTTAAAATAGAATCGCTTCTTTTTTAGACTTTAAAATATTTACTACTTCATTTTTATGCCTCTTAAAAATTTCCCATTTATGTTTTTTTTACAATTACATTTTTTAAAATCCTTTGAAGCCCTATCAAGCTGTTTAATTTGTTCAAACACCTTATGATCAAACCAAAATAGTTTTGATTGAAACTGATATGTTACAATTGATGTTATGCCATTGATTACGTTTTCACAATTTTGCAAATTTTCTACTTGGTAAATGATAGTAACATCAGCAGAATCTAAATTAAAGTGAGACGTAATAAGACTAGATTTGATTTTATCCAAGTTATGATCCCATAAATTTTTAAAATTGGATATATTACCATCAGATAGATTACAGCTATTGTTATTGGAGATTTTTACTGAAATATTGGAATAATCAATTATTTTTGGATGGATGGACAATCGTGAACACAAGCACTTCACCATCATATTATTTTAATTAAAAAGCACATAATCTACCAAAGTTTTACCACAGAAATTACTAGCCAAGAAGTCTATATTAAAATCGGCGAAATGAAGCGGCGTTATCTAACTGCCCCACGAACTACTTGGGCCAATTGATCCCAAGTACCTGCTGCCCAATCGCCGAGAAAGTTAGGGGATTAAATCTTAATGATCGGAAATTCCAAATTTAAATATAGTTGAAAGTAAGAAAATAAATATTTTTAGTTATTCACTTCAGTTTGTGTCACCAAAAAGTGTACACAAAGGAAAGTGATGAAAATTACGTTATTCTTGAAAAAGTATCGGTGAAGCATAATCATGCTCCAGATATCCAAGTTGACTGGCAAATTTTTAGTAATTCTATAAAGAGGAAAGCTGTAGAAGATATATGTGAGAGACCTTTAAAGATTGTCTACAAAGAATTGAGGAAGGAAAATTTCAGCAATTTACCGCTGACGACGAAAGACATTTCCTGCGTTCGAAGAAATATCTATGCTGCAAGACAAATCCACACCATCATTGCCCAAGTCACAGGAAGTAGTTCTACAAATGTCAGTGAACTTATATTTAAAAAAAATACAGGTGAAAGAAGAAGAAATTGAAAAATTCTATCATGATTTAGAAAAAGTATTAGCACGTACAAAGAAACACGATCTCTCAATATTATCATGGGAGATTTTAATGCAAAGATTGGTGAAGGTGAACATGAAGATATCATAGGGAAATATGGTCTGGGAATACGAAATGAAAGAGGAGATATGTTGGCATCTTTTTGCGTAGAAAAGGAATTAGTAATAACGAACACTTCAAACTTCCAAAAGGTCGTCTTTACACCTGGAAATCACCAGCAGATACACCTGAACGAGTTGTTCGTAACCAAATAGACTTCATGTGTATAAATAAGAGATACAGAAATTCAGTATTAGCAGTAAAAACATATCCAGGCGCAGATGTACCAACAGATCACAATATTTTAGTAGGAAAAATAAGACTGAGATTAAAAAGAGTTGCAAGGACGAATAAGCAAACAGTTACTATTGATAGAGAAACGATGCTAAATGATACTGTAAAACAAAAAATAACTAGTATATTAGAACAAAAAATGAAGTTAACATCAAGCAAAGAAGAAAGTACTGAGGAAAACTGGACGAGAATTAAAGACATCTTAAAGACTGTTCAAGAAATAAAATTGAGGGCGCTAAAAGCAAGAAAAAAACAAGGGTGGATGACAGAAGAAATATTGAGACTTATGGATCAAAGAAGATAAGTCAAAAATAAAGATAAAAACAAATACAAGAGGATCCACAATAATCAGGCAGAAGATAAGACACGCGAAAACACAATTTTATAGTAAAGAATGTAATGAAATTGAACAATATGAAAAGAAACACGATATATATTTCATCTGCACAAGAAATTAAAAGAGGTCGCTGGAAACAAACGGAAACAAGTATCCCAAAGTTTAGAAGACCGAAATGGACACAGAATATTAGACATCAATGAAAAGTTAAAAGAATGGGAAAACTACATTTCTGAATTATTTGAAGATGAGAGTAGAACACTATACACCGATTGCTATATCAGGTCCATCTATAACAGAAAGTGAGGTAAGACGTTTAATTCAAACGGCAAAAAATGGAAAAGCACTTGGCCCCGATGAAGTAAGTGCTGAAATACTAAAGTTTTTTGTGAAAATGGAATTAAAGCTCTGTGTAATCTCTTTAACAGAATTTATGACACTGGGATATTACCAACTGATTGGTTAAAGTCGACATTTGTCACAATACCTAAGAAACATCGTCCAAAGACATGCGGTGATTATCGGACAATAAGTCTGATGAGTCACGTTTTGAAGATCTTCCTGCAAGTAATACACAGCAGAATTTACACGCTGTTAGAGGACAGAATTAGCAATACTCAATTTGGGTTTAGGAGTGGCTTGGGTACAAGAGAAGCCTTGTTTAGTATACAGGTGCTAGTGCAGAGATGCAGAGATATAAATCAAAATGTGTAGGTACATTTGTGCAATCGATTTTGAAAAAGTTTTTGACAAAGTCCGACATAACAAAATGCTAGAAATATTGGAAACAGCTGAATTAGATGATAAAGATCTCCAAATAATTACAAATCTATACTGGCATCAAATGGCAAGAATAAAAGTTGAACAAGAACTGTCGGATAAAATAAATATAAAAAGAGGAGTGAGACAAGGCTGTATATATATCGCCTTTACTTTTTAACTTATATTCGGAGGAAATATTTAAGGAAGCCTTAATGGAGACAACCGAAGGTATTATTGTGAAAGGAGTAACCGTCAACAACATTAGATATGCCGACGATACCTTAGTCCTTGCCAATTGCGGAGAAGACCTTCAAAATCTAATGAACAAAATAAAACAGACTTGTGATTAGTATGGATTAAAACTCAACGTTAAGAAAACTAAATATATGATAGTTAGCAAACAAAATTATTTACAGGATGACGGTATAAAAGTCGGAGATGCCACACTGGACAGAGTAGAGAAACTCGTGTATCTCGGCAGTAATATCAATGAGAGCTGGGATCCAACCGCAGAAATTAAAAGCCGAATAGAACAAGCCCGAGCCGCCTTTGTAAAAATGAGAAACGTACTTTGCAGTCACGATCTTAGCATTGACCTTAGCGTTCGTATGACATCTTGCTACATCTTTCCTGTCCTGCTGTATGGGGTGGAAGCGTGGACTCTAACTGAGGCTGTGCTTAAATGCTTGACAGCCTTTGAGATGTGGGTATACAGATGACTACTGAAAATAAGCTGAGTCGACAGAGTTAGAAATGAAGAGGTCCTTAGACGGCTGAGCCAAACAACACAACTGGTCAATATAATAAAGAAACGCAAGCTGGAATACTTTGGTCACAGTATGAGACACCCTTAAAAATATGATCTTTTACATCTGATCATTCAGGGAAGGATCCAAGGTAATCGTGGTCCTGGTAGACGCAGAACATCATGGCTGAAAAAAGTCAATGGTATGGAAAATCAACTACATCGTTATTTAGAACTGCTGTCAATATAGTCACGATAGCGAATATGGTAGCCAACATGATATCCAACGATCGATAACAGTCATGGAACTAGAAGAAGAAGAAGACAGGTGAATTAAATCTTTACTTTTTGTGTAATATAGATTATTAGTATGTAGATGAAACTTTTCAATAGTGTTCTAAATATTTTTGTCAGTTTGTTTGTTAACAAATAAATCACAACAATAGTACAAAAATACTTTTGATACATTAATAAAAATATGTACAGATTTGAATTTAAATTTCAAACCGTAGCGAATAATTTCTGATTTTGAAATAGCAATTCAAAATGCAGCCAAGTAAGTGTGACCCGGCATTATTATTTTTTGTTGCAAATTAAATTTAACACAAAATTGGTACCAAAATATTCAAAATTTAGGTTTGTCCTCGGAATATATAAATCAAACTGTTATTGGAAAATATTTAAAATTGGTTTTCGGCATTCCTTATTTAGATCCAATTGATGTTGGTGTTTATTTTTTTGATGAACTTTTTAATATTATGCCAGAAGATGACAAAAATGTAAATATGTGAAAACTTGACAATATTTGTGGCGATTAAATTGAACTCATTATTATTAACCCGTGGTTGTTCTTCTGAATTTGATTCGTAAGGGTAATAAACGAATAATTTTATTTATTTCTTTATTCACCCTGAATACGCTTTGAATGATAATTTATTACTCTGTTGTTTTTGTTTCTAATACAAAAAGTATTCTGGAAAATTAATAAACTACATTTAGATACTAGTCTATAAATATATCATTTGCATCGTAACTACAAACTCTATAAGTACCCAACGCCCGTGGAACTTAATATTGCCCATCCAAGCAGATAACTATGATGGTGAACGAAGGGCGCCAATCACGACTGACGCCCGCACGCACGCACGATCCCATCACACCCCAGCCGCCCAATCGAGGGCCGCTCTTGGCCTAGAGCCAAATAAGACAATGAGGGAAATAATCGAATTCTTCCGCCTCGGTAACCGCCACGCGGTGCACCATCCTCGGTTTTTTGGAAAAGCGCCTGCAGCCACAACTGCAGAAACAGGAGAAAGGAAAAAGGTTTGGCGTTTGTTTAAAATAATGATATGAGGACATGGACGGAGAAGAAGGAGGGTGTTGATTTCATGAAAAAAATCCACAATCATTTTTATCGATACAGTTACTTAGTCGGTCTTAGATCAATAAAAATATATGTAAAAAAAATTGTTAGAACATATTTGTCTCTCTCACAATATTCTCACAATCTTCTATAAATAGTTTTACAAACTTATTGTTTTACTTCTATAAATTGTTAACTTTTTTCTTCTCCTAGGCATACGAATATTGGATGAACGATATGTATCTAAACTATCGGGAACCTATAGCTATCAACTCCAATCCAGGCATGGTTTTCCCTCCTAGAAAATTCACAACCATTCTAGATGTAGCTCGGTTCGCAGCCAGACTCATAGATGCTGCTCTGGACCACAAAGAAATTCTTAATCGCAAAGCTTTGCCTGTAGAGAAAGCTACATCGAGGGAGGCGGGTCAGCCTCTGTGTATGGCACAGTTCTATAGGATACTGGGAGCTTCCAGATTGCCCGGAAAGAAGCGAGATTTTCACCATGTATGTCAGTTTCCTAAGGATGGGGAGCAGACATCAGAACATATAATTGTTATTTGCAGAAGTCAATTATACTGTGTTCCTATACAAGCAGGTACAATAAATCTATTTTTAATATTTATTAGTTACTTTTATATAGGTAGAATTAAACCTTTTTTTAACTGTATTAATATAATTGAACTATTATGAAAATTCTTATATCTTAAAAAACTTACTTTTCTGTCTACTTTCTAGTAGTTTATATATAATGTTAGGTTTTATTAATTCGAATTTATTGTTCTTATTTTAATTTACTAAAGGTTCAATATTTATAACACGTACAAACTTAATTTATTTAAAGTTTATTTATTATCATTTATCTTACAATAATAATTTATTATTACGATCGTTACATTTAAATACCCGATCGCGATTTTCTTTTCTGACTGACTTCTTTCAATGGCAATCATGTTATATACCCATACAGCTGGTAAACTAGAAGGATGTCGACCCTTGTTGTAAATACTGGAAGGCTATGGCTGGTTCTTTCATTCAACGTATTTCCGGACCGTTCGGATGGACCGGTTTTTTCTTATCACTTGGAATTTGCGCTAGCTAGTCGAAGGGTCGTAGAATCTAGAACATATTAGTGAATAAACAACATATTTACAGGTTTTTTTAATATGACTAATTTTTACGTAACATTGGCCCCTCTTAAAAGATGGTTCCTCCTGAAACCTAGTCGGGACTGGAACTGGAACGACATGCTGATATCGGCAACTGGACCCCCTTTTACAACTTCCAGTTGTATAAAAATGACAAGGAACGGTTTTCTCTTCGCACCAGTAACTATGTGGATTGCAACAGACTACTAATTGGCGGCACTCTAACTTTGTCATGGCTAACTTTTGTACGTCGGACTCTAGTACGTGCTCTCTTAATTGAAGTAAGGCTTCCCATACATCTCGGTAGGTAGGTTGGTCACGGGCAGTGTCTTTTGTTACCAGGTAGAAAAGGTAACGTGATGCATCTTGGAGTTTCAAGGTTTTACCTGGACCTAGCATTTGACATTGAAGTACTGCAACTCAACCAAACTTCCTTCGAAAGACGGATGCCAACCCTGGTGCGTCTTTGATACTGGCAGGGATGGTAAGGGCCAGTGAGTAGTCATCGGGAAGCGCGAGAAGATCTTGAATTTCTTCAGTGGTAACACCATGTCTTGCTTTACCGGTACCTCCATAGGCACCCATGAATTCCTCAAACGTGAGGTAAGATACATCTTGGACTTGGTTTACTTCCACTTCTTCATCTACATCGTGGTCACCTTCAAAAGACGCCAGCAAGTTATGGTGTACTACCATCGGCTTTCTCCTCGGAATCTTGCTTATTGGGTAAATGACATCATTGATCTTCTCCATAACTGCTGTTATGGAGATTTCTCCTATTATGGAGAATAGGACTCTGTAGGCCATTGTAAAGAACGGAATATATTGGTCCCAGTCTCGCTGATGATTGGACACCATCTTTGTCAAATACTTGCCAACTGTCCTATTCATCCGTTCTACCATACCATCCGATTGCGGATGATATGCTGTAGTTCTTGTTTTCTTCATGCCTAGTCTATCACATATTCCTTGGAATAGAACGCTTTCAAGTTCTCTACGGATCGCACTTTGGATCTCCAAAGGCACTTCAAATCGGCTGATATATTTTTGGATCAACTTATCCGCAACGGTGGCGACCTTCTGGTCTGGGAGTGCGTAAATCTCGACCCACTTAGTGAAGTAATCCATTACTACCAACATGTACCTACTTGCCTCCATTTTCACTTTCTGGAAATGACCCAACAATGTCCAAAGCTATTCTTTCAAACGGGATTTCAACATTAAATTACCTCATAGGAGTTCTCCTTTTTCGGTAAGGGCCGTTACTCGTAGCACAAATAGTACATTTGTTACACCAGTCTTTTACGTCGTCGGAATTGTTCATTCAATAAAACCGTTCCCGAATTCGCTGAAAGGTCTTCTTTTCACCAAAATGCCCTCCTGATAGACTGTCGTGTAACTGACGTAGTACTTCGGCTATTCTGCTCTTTGGGATCACCAACTGTCTTCTCTTCTCTGAACCGTTATCATTTTTCAGGACTCGTTTGAGCAAGCCATCTTCCATGATAAATGAGTCCCACTGGGCCCAATACGTCTTAACTGCTGAGCATAGGTTTGATATTTCTTGCCAAGGTGGTCGACGGTTTTCCTCTTTCCATTTTCGAATTTTCTGTGCAACTGGATCTCTCTCTTGTTCTTCCCGTATCTTGGTACGCGTCCAGTCGTCGTTGACCATCGTCGTTCTTAGCACTGCTGCTTCCTTGGATTCCGGTTTGTTGCAGTGTAAACACTCTGCTGGGCATGACCTTCTGGAAAGCGTTTCTGTGGCTAACTTCGACCCGGCGCTCAATCTTGAAATCGTATTCTTGAAGTAGTTCGATCCTCCTGGCTATCTGACCCTCTGGATTATTAAACTACATTAACCACTTAAGGGCGGCATGGTCGGTTCGGAATAAAAACTTCTTTCCATAGAACTATTGATAAAAGTGCTCTACTGATTTCACTACTGCCAGAAGTTCTCCTCTCGTGGCGCAATCATTCCGCTCAGGTTTTGAGAGAACTTTACTAAAATATCCAAGGACTCTTTTCTGTCCTCCTTGAATCTGAGACAGCACTCCTATTCCCACATCACTTGCACCTGTATCTAAGATGAACTCTCTTTATGGCAGTGGATACCCTAAAATTGGTGCTGTGATTAAATGCTACTTTAAGGTCTCGAAATCATTTTGGCAGTCTGTATCCCAGCGCTAATCTCTTGCTTCCTCTATGGGTCGCGTTATTGGCTTAGCGATATCTGCAAACTTCTTAATAAACCTTCGATAGTAAGTACATAGTCCCAGAAAACTTCTCACTTGGTGTTTGTCAGTTGGTTCTGGCCATTCCTTAATGGAATCGATTTTTCTCTTATCCACGGCCACTCCCTGTTTACTGAATATTTAACCCAGATAATTGACTTTACCTTGAAATAGCTGGCACTTCTTGGGGTTTAACATCAATTGGGCAGCTTTAAGTCGATTAAACACGTTTTCTAAATTCCTCAAATAATCTTCAAATGTCTCCCCCAAGACGATTATGTCATCTAGATAAACTAGGCATGTTTTCCAAGATAACCCTCTCAACACATTTTCCATAAGCCTCTCAAATGTCGCAGAAGCATTACAGAGTCTAAATAGCATAACGTTGAATTGCGATAATCCAGATCCTGTGGTGAAGGCTGGTCTTTTCTTTATCTACCGGGTCCATTTCTACCTGCCAGTATCCAGACTTCAAATCCAAAGTAGAAAATAATTTACTTCCAGCCAATGTGTCCAATGTGTCGTCGATTCGAGGCAGAGGATAACTATCTTTCTTGGTAACGTTGTTCAGCAAACAGTAATCCACACAGAAACTCGTTGTTCCGTCTTTCTTCTTAACCAGGACCACCGGAGAGACCGATGGGTTCGTAGAAGGTTCTATTACCCCGTCTTTCTTCATTTCCTGAACAATCGTTTCAGCTTCCTCTCTTTTCGCCTGTGGTAATCGTCGAGCTGTTTGACGAATTGGCTTAGCATTACCGGTATCAATTGTATGCTTAACAACGGTAGTTCTTCCCGTCTTTCCTCCATTCTGTACGAAAATATCACGATACTGCCGAAGAAATTCCCTTAATTTCCTTTTCTCAATCTGATTCAGAGAGTGTCCAGCAACTGCAACCATTTGGTCGAATTTGTCGTTAGAATTATCAGATGTTGTCGTCTGGCGGATTATAGATGTCACAGGTACACAAGTTCCTACTTTTGTCTCTTTCTTGATGGTGACTGGATAGTCATTGACATTGATAAGTCTTACAGGTATTTCTTTAGCCGAAGTCACCAATTCCTTACCAATTATGATTCCTCGGCCAACCTCGTCGTCATGGTTCCAAGGCTCCCTCATAACAGGTGTCCCTGCGTCCACAATTCCCTGTAGCCGCGCTACTATGATCGTTTCACTTCTCGCAGGCACGACTGTATCTTCTTGAACGGCTGCTTGCATAGTGTTGTCATCATGTGGATGAAGAAATACCTCCTCGTTACCAACTTTGATTACCTTATTCTTAAAATCCAATTAGAATCCATGCGCATTCATTACGTTCATTCCTAATATAAAATCCTCTTCGATGTCAGCGACTATAACAGTATGGACGAACTTTTCTGCTCCAATTCCTAAGTGTACCTGGATTTCTCCATGAATGTTGGCATTTTCACCCGTAGCGGTCCGAAGTCGCAACCTCGTTGGTAACAGTTTCTTACGGCTGTTTATAACTGTCGGGCGTATAATGGTTCTGGTCGCTCTGGTATTCACCAACAACGTATGCTTTTTTCCATTTATTTCTCCATCTACATAAACACTATCTTCACGACATTTCAAAGAAGCTATTAGTATGAGAGGGTCTGTGGAACAGTTCTGGGTCGAAGGTGCCCCCCCTAGGGCAGACTTGTTCTAGTTTTCCTGATGGTGAGTTTCTTGATTTGCGTCGTACCTAGGATGCTTACAGGAACTTTGTACGTGTCCTGTTTCGCCACAATTCCAGCATCTTATGGTCTCCATTTTCTTGTATGTCATGCTTTTCATCATATTAACGAGCTGGTCAAGTTTATCTTCATCTCCTTCCTTTTTTACAGTCCTAACCTTACTGTATCCGCCAGAGACATGCGTATCTGACTCGCATTCGAGGGCGGCGGATAAGACATCAACTAGCGTCTTGTGACACGCTAATCGTAGTGTTCTCTGCATGTCATGATCACGAAGACCATCAATAAACGTTTGAACGGTCAACTTTTCCATCATATCATCAGGAGCTGTTGGATAAGCATATCGTACTAGCCTGGCAATATCTACCTCATATTCTTGAAGAGCCTCATGTTTCTTTTGTCTTCGATTTTTAAGCTGCGACTGATA